CCCGGAGGAAGTAAAGAAAAGCGCTTTTCGCAGTTCTAGCACTCCACTGTGGCCTCGCGGAGAGTTTGCAATGTGAAAAAAAAATTGGGAGCGCAATGGAGCCGCAGCCCCCATTAAGCTTTGAAGAGCGGGCCCGCTGAACCTCTTGAATTTTCATGTTTCTTTTTGCTTCTGTTTTGTTAGTTTTTTAACCTCTTCGTGTCGAACAAGATCCTCTTTCAGGTCTCTTCCTCAGATCTCCTTGGAGCCTTTCTGAACGGGTTTTAATCTGGATCAAACCTGGATGATTTAACCTGAGTTAGAACCTGGATTTACTCGTCCATGTCGAAGACAGTTTTTTGTTGTTTCAAGTCTGTTTCAAACCTGGGTTATAACCAGGGTTTAAAGCTGGGTTTTTAAATCTGAGTTCCAAATCTGGGTTAGACCCTAGGTTTCAAAGCTGGTTTGGAACCTGGGTTCAACCTTGGTTTGAACCTGGGTTAACCTGGATTAAACTTGGGTTCAGCAACCCGGTTCCAAACCTGGGTTAGAACTGGGTTTCAAACCTGGGTTCAAACCTGGGTTTAAACCTGGATTTAATTAAAACCCAGGTTCAAAGGTTTGAACCTAGGTTATATCCAGGGTTTCAAACCTGGGTTCCCTGGGTTGTTGTTGTTGTTCCCCTCCACCTCTGGGGGGAGGGAACCCAGGTTCAAACCTGGTTCAAACCCCTGGGGGGGAAGGGACGAGCCTGCCTGAAAGCTCCAATGTTTCTCTGACCTTCTTGGAAGAATAACGAAAGAAATCAAAGTGTGTCATCGAAAAAATATTAAAAAAATTTTCCAACACGAAGGAAGGAGAAGTCCCTTTAGGGGCAAAGCAAAGAAAACAAAAATAATGAAAACACAACACTTTCCGGCCTTCTTTTCTGGCCTTTGCTTGAAGCGGAATCAAGTTTTTTTGGACCATAGATGTCGAACAAAAAACAAAAGATCGCGGACAGGAAAAGACATCTGGCGGTCTGGAAAGACCAGTCCCTCACCTGGCTCTTGCTAGATTTTTTTGCTCTTCGCTCACAAGCGATGGAAGTGTTCCAGCTGCTGCGTCTGGAACGTGTTCAGCTTCCGGTGCCGCCAACGCCCACTTTGGGTGCGGACCACTTGGCACTCTCACTGCCTTTCGAAGGTGCCCTCACTTGGTGCCCTCACTGGGTGCCCTCAGTCGGTGACCTCGGTCGGTGCCCTCACTCGGCAACTGCAGCACGCGGCTCCATGTGGGGTCAAATCTAAGTAATTTGCTTCGCTTGAATGGTCTTATCTGTTCTCTTATGTTTCCACTTGCAGGCAAGCTGTCTGTGGAAATTTTGGTTCTGAAGCGCGCGCGCAGCGGAAACTGGCTCCCCAAACAGGGTACCGAGCGCGAGAACTCAGAGAGTTTCTCCAGAGCAAGCCAGCTCCATTCCAGATCGCGGTTGTTCCACACTGGATGCCTGCCTGTAGGCGGGTCACCTTGATGCCGAGTCTGGAACACACGGGCTTGGATTTAAGCTCCAGAGAAGAAATTCACGACCCCAAAACAGGAGCCGCCAAGCGGCCCCAGTTTTGGGGTCCTTTGGTTGCCTGTCAAAATGTGAAAAGGAGCCCTTTGGGCCGCGAGACGGCCTTTTTGGAGTCGCAAATTTGATTTCTTTTCCACAGCTGAACTTGTCCAGCTGCGCATTTGATTGTAATGCTCTGGGGAGCTGGAAGGCGGAACTTGTCCAAAGGCTCGCCCTTTACGTGCTGCGCCCGGCGTCAGGACCTTGGCGAGTGGACCTTTTTATACACTCTCAATGATGAGCACATGGAGGACCCTGCTTCTTAGCTGTGCAGAAGACCCCAAAGCAAAAACCTTCGAGTCTTCACTTGCGCCTCCTGAGGCCAAAGGAAGATGACAAATGACCTGGAGTCAAGGTGCAAAAGAGACACGCAACCATGAAGGCAATCCAAGACTCCAATTGCATGATGGAACTGACATAAAGAGCAATGCATCAGCAACTCTCCTGGTAGAGCTGCAGTGCCAGACCCAATGAGACCGAAGAAGGGGGAAGGCCAGCTCCAAGCTTCATGCACGCAGCCCGTGGCAGTTTCTGATTCTGGAAACATGCGGACAAGTGGATTCTGCACGACAGGCGCTGTGAAAATCCTGTAATCTTGGATGTCTTGATGTTTTGGCATGTCTGAAGCTGCGAGGAGCTGTTGAGTTGGGTCAATGACTGCACTCGTTTCGTTTCGTTATTGCTTGGAAGTGTTTTGCTTGGAGACAAACAGCTGAATGCCAGTTGCAGCCCAGGACGCTGAGTTGCGACTCTGCTTTTGGCTCTGTTGGTCCTGTCAGTTCGCCACAGCTCAGCAAGCAGCCCAGACTGCACTTGCAGCTTGGCCAGAAGCCCAGATTGCGCCTGCAAGTGCCTCACAAGCGATGGAAGTGTTCCAGCTGCTGCGTCTGGAACGCCTGTTCAGCTTCCGGTGCCGCCGACGCCCACTTTGGGTGCGGACCAACTGCAGCACACGCGGCTCCAAATGTGGGGTCGAATAATCTAAGCATTTTGGCTTCGCTTGAGTGGCTCCCTTATGTTTGTTCGATTTGGCGGGCCATTTTCGAGACGAAAAATTGTGCACCATGAGGGGTCTCCCCTGTACGGCAAGTAACTGCACCAAGGCTAGAATCTTTTGGCCCGTCAGACGTGCTTTCGGAAACCTGGCAGCAACTGAAAGCAGTAGACGCCTGTCAGAGAGACTTTTGCAGCAAAGTCAAAGCATCAGACTGTGCTAATGGGAACTGGGCAGCAACTGGAAGCATCAGCGTCAGACATGAATGTGTTTAACACTCGCAAGCAGCTCCTGGAGAAAGACTCGAAGACCCGAGAAGAGACTAGAATGTTCGGCGGCGCCTGGTGCTGAGACATTTCAGGAGCCAAGCCTCGAAAAAACCGTGGTCCTGCAATCCGTTTGTTTGATTAGAAACTCCAGAGAAGTGTTTCACTTCCACGTGCGGATCAAAGACTTTCGTGCATGCCGCCTCACCACCCCCAAAGGCCAACTCCAGTTCACGTGTACCGGAGCACATACCTCGCTCCTCTCGGCAATCACATTTGGTTTGGTCGCACAAAACAGCAGGGGTCTTTTTCCTTGTCTCGAAACTCGTTAGCTTGGTGAAACTTTGCCTACACTCACGTCTTGGCATTCGTGAAGTTCCGCATGTGGGTCTTACGCTTACCTTGAGCACTGCGCACCTTCTGTCCGAGTCCGGGGTTCGTTCTACCCAAGAAACGCTCGAAGTCTTTCTGAGATGCTGGTGGTAGGTAGGGGTCGACGCCCATTTTCTCCATACTCATCCATCTGCCGTTGTACTGGATTTATCTGGTCTCTGCTCTGTATCCAAATACTGTCTTGCTTGCAATGCTTGCCTCTTTCTCGCTGATGGTATCCTCTGAGCACTACCGGCACTGCTGCTCCCTCGGCTTCCTCTCTTGCGTCTGGATTCCAGGTCCAATGCTTCCTGCAGCAAGTTCTCGCTGCCTTGCTGTTCCGCGATTCCTTGTTGGTTCATACAATACGCTGTGTCCACCGACGTCTGTGATCCTGTTCTTCCGTGAAAAAAGTCTGATGCTGTCATGCTGGCAGTTGCTGCCAGGCCACCAAAAGCACAGTCTGCTTGACCTTGCTGCAAGAGCTCCCTAAGACTGAGAGGCGTCTGAGGCTTGCAGTTGCTGCCAGGTCCCCCAAAGCACGTTTGACTTTGCTGCGAGAGCTGCGAAAAACGTTTGATGTTTTTGAGTTGCTGCCAGGTCTCCAAAAGTGTCTGACGATCCGACTCGAAACACATGGATCGACATTTCCGGCAGTGAAAAGAGATGTGCGAGTGAACTGCATCAATTCCATTTCATGTTTACTAGCTTGTTCGCCGTAGCTTCTCTTGCACCGACTGATAGCTCTCAGCAGGCTGGGCAGCCGGGGAGGGATGGCGGGCGGTGGTGAGCTCCGCAAGGCCGGATGGTTGCGTTGACAGGCAGCAGATGTGCCGGTGGTTAAGCGGACACGGGTTCGGTGACTGCTGGGAGCCTTGCGCGAGCTGTTGCCTCCAGAATGCGATGCAAGGAGACTTGGCCTGGCACTTTTCTTCGTGGCCTACTCTTTTCATCATGACCTGAGACTGCTATGCGGGCTTGGCGGTGTGGCTCGCGCTTTGGACTGTCTCGCTGCGCTTTGGCTATCCAAGCTGTGCACCAAGATCCATGGCCCTACTTCCTGCACCTTTTACACGGAGAGTACTCGAACGTGGCACGGGGTGCCAGTCGGTGCGCCGGAGCCACGTTGTGGAGCAGCCCACGCATTACACGCCGGCCGCAAGCATAGACCAGGTCTGGATTGCGGGCGAGAGTGTTCGTGCCATTGGCCATTGCGCAACTCGATTGCGGGGCCCTGTTGCGGCCGTTGCGCTTCTCCCACTTTTCGGAGCAGGGCCTGTCATGAGTGCGGCTAGCTTGGCGCACGGCTGGCAGAAAGTCGATCGCAGAAGTGTTTCGTCGGGGGACCATTGCGCTCAGAACTTTACGCAAGTGCAGGTGTCCTCTCCGACAGCTTTCTCCTGAAGAACATTTTGTGTTTTCTGCTTGAGCTTGAAAAGTTGCCGGTGCACCTTTACGTTACATGGATTCTTCGAGCGAGAAGCAAGTGTGGCAGAGATCAGGCGTGGGGAGAATCGACATCTGTCCTGTCGTGTGTTGTGGGTGCAGCAAGCGGTGGCCCGAGGGGAAGTTGTCCTTCGGCACAGTCGTGGGAAGTACAATCCGAGTGATGTGAATCCGAAACTTCTCGCGAGGGTCCGCATGCTTTTCCTGATGTATCTGCTGAGGGTGAGAGAGTGGGAGAGGACGAGCGTGCAGCACACATGGAGAAGGAAAGCCATCCAGCTTATGATTCGCAACTTAAAGAGCCTTGAGCCTACAACCCGACTGGCTACGCAGATGATCGTGTAGCATGGCCTCGGATGTTAAGGATGAGGATGCTTCAGGTACCGTGTGCTTGGCAGCGTTGGCATGCAGTGGAATAGATGGTTTTCGCATGTGTGATTGTGCTTTTTCAGCTTTGTATAGTGGTGCAACGGCAAGCGAGCCAATGTGATCATTACCCGTGCTGAGATTTGATCGCGATGAGCATCGCTTTCATTCTGAGGCAATCATGCGGCAGCACAAGAATGAGCTCGATGAGGTGAAGGAGTGGAACAGGCAGCTTCGTGACAAATGCCGTGGACTTGAGTCGCGGAATGAACGAATGTGCAATGAGGCGCAGCAAGTTCGTCAGCAGTTGCGCATCGTGGATGGTGATGTTTTCGTTTCCGCACGTGGGCGGTCCTACCACAGCAGTGCTGAATGTGAGCGTAATCGTGGTCGTCGAACAACAATGTGTGCAAAGTGCCGCGATTGTGCAATGCGAGATGGGCAACGATTGGTGCAGTGAGTGTGTGTATGAGGAGCCGTGGATGGTTCACGAACAAATTCGATGGATGGCCCGTTTACTGCAGCCAATGTTTACGGCTGCAAGGGGCAAATGAATGGATGCATGAATGGGTCATGCAGCCCATGTACGGCAGTCAATGTTTGCGGCTGCCAGGGTGTGTCAGGAGTGCTTTTGATACCCTTTTTCAGTGGTCAATGTTTACGGTGCCAAGGGTTTGCGAAAAGAGCGGGATGTTTGAACGCCCGTTTGTGCTGATGCAGGTTTTACGCACAGCAGGGCTATGTAGTGAGTGCAGTGAGCCGTTAAAGTTGCATGCGAAGCAGTGTGCGTTTTGCCTTTTTCGACCAGGTACATGTGACCATGTGCATAGTTGTGCCAACCTGGCAAATTCGGTTTCGGGAATTCGTTTCAAGAACCTTTGAGTCGTAGGCAACTTGGGCGAAAGTGCTAAAGTTGCTAAAGTCAGTGTGAGTGAGTGTATGCCGTAGGCATAGCTCGAGGTGATAAACCTTTGCGCACTTTTACTGGTGCTGTTGTTTTGACTTAAGCTTGGACTGCAGGCGCTTTGTGGTTCTACAAGAGTTTTCATATCCATAGGGGGAAATCTGCCATCGTGTACAGCACGTCCTTTAGTGTGTTCCTCGACTTGCATCCGCTTCGTGCGGGTGCTCTCGAGAGGGTCAAGCATTTCGCCAAAAGTGGACGAGCTAGCTCCACCGCTTCTGTTGCCTCCGTGAAGTATGTGAAGTCACATGTGCTGTATGGTGTTACGAGCTAGCTGTACTCAACTTGGCAAGCAAACGTACCCGAGTGAGGGCGTGCAGCTGGTTGGGGATCGGCCAGCGTGCAGAGAAACCTGGCAACAGTGGTGAGCAAAGGGAGCTGCCAGCCATTCCGAAGCTGAGAGACTGTCAGCATCGCATTTAGCACATGTCCGATTGTGTTTATATATATATATGCTACATATACACTCACTCTGTCTCTCCCGCTCTCTCTCCTTAGTTGTTTGATTATTTTTGCAGGTCCGCCAGCAATCTGGTAAGTGGACGCGCAGCTTTTTTTTTACATTGTTCTCTCCCGACTCCAAGCCATACCCCAAGCCGAGATTTTACATTTAGGCCTTGATTGAGCTTGGTCACGAAGAAACGGAAAATGTAAGTCACATTTCCTGCCCCGTAGGGTGTTACAGGGGTGGGGATGGATGGATGTTTCACCCAAAGATGACTGACAGCAAAGAGCATCAAAGATCCGTAAGCCAATGTGAGCATGAAATGCCAGAATGCAAATGCCATGGATGTATCACGAAAATCGCAGTCTGCGCACCAAAGGAAAAGGTTCCCGAATTGAATCGCAAGAATGACTGGCGCGAGGTAGGCGTTTCTGTGCCAACCTTGGGAAAGGATGGTCAACGGCAGTTTTTGTGATTGCGGGATGTATGAGGGGGGTTACGCGCGCAAAATGTTTAACCCGTATCCTTGAGAGAATGTCGGGAATGGGCCGGGACGTGCCCTATGAAGATCAAGCTTCAAGTACAGCACGCAGACCTCGAGGAAGGGTGTCGAGTTTGCTACATGGTAATGTGCCCACTCTTCCGGGAGTCCCCAGCCAAGGTACACAACCCATGTAAGATACATGAATGTACAGTGTGACCGGACAGCGCCGTTGGTGCAAAGGGACACAAGTGTGAGTGTAGCTCGCACTTGCGCGGATTCAGCCCTGCGACACGACTTCTGACGCTGTAGTCACCGTGATGGGTTGCCTGTAAACAGCACGCCCAGCACTGCAACATGAAACATCAGGCGATTGCCCCATCGGTGCGAAACCCTGGCCCTAGCCCACACCGCCCCTCCGGCAGGTGGCATCTTCTGCTTTCAGGCAGACCCTGCCAGCACTGTGCGGCAAGACCCCACTGTTGCCAAGCATTACAAGTGGCGCGAGCACGCATAGTCCGCTTTTGCACCCATGGTTTCGATGTCTTTCCAACAACTGGCTGATGGCATGCAGTGCACCCGGCTGGTCTGCGTGGCCAGCCTGTGACATGCATATGGCAGGCACATGATTTCGGCCCTCCGCACAGGCAAACCGCGTGCACTTGCAACCCTGGCCCGCCCATACCTCAGCAATGCGGGCATTCACGATGTTGACATAAGTAGCTTTAGAACTAATACAGGAGCTTTAACCCCGACACGTCGGAAACTCCATGCCAGGTCCATGCCACTTCCATGCTGTAAACGAGGTTCAGGTCGAACAGGGGAAGGCTGTTACCATTTGCTCTCAAGCTGGAGCTGGAGTTTCGATTTTGGTTTTTTATATCTCACAGATGCCGCCAACAAGTTTTGCATGATCGAAACGAGTTTGCAAGTCAAATGATTCATTGTCTTCATTTCCTGTGCAGCTTTCGGCTCAATGAATGGTAACAACACTGATTTTGTGTCGAGAATGCCGTGAGCGAAAGTTTCAGACTGAATGCACAAGTTTGAGTTTGCAATACATAGTAGACGGGTGTGATTCCGGGTAAGATTCCAGAAGCAGACATCTTTTGCGGGACATGTCGGTGAACATATATGGTATCAGCTGATAGCAGATGCCCAAGCAAGCATGCAACACTGGCAACAGCAGATTTCAAGTGCAGCATTGTTTGACATGATGTTGTTGGGCCGAAGCTCTGGCCGAGCAAGGTACTACACCTGAGTGACACATGTGGAAAATCTTATCCGGGGTGCGAAGCATGTGGCAATCCATCCTGCAAGAGCGAATTTGTGATGGTTGCTAGCTTTTCTGAGACTCATCCCATTCCACAGCAGCAAAGCTTTAAAGTGCTTGTGCCATGCTTGTGCATGTCCGGTTTGTGTGGCACTCTGAGCCCGTCAGGCATGTCAGAGCCCGGCGAGCTGGGCAGGCAGGTTTGCATGGAATGGTTGTGTTGCACAGTTTAGGGACATGCAGGCGCAGCATTTGTGATCTCACTTTTACAGGAGCGCCGTTGCAAACGCTTCGGAGCAGATGCTGGAAGGTTGAGACCTCAAATGCAATCTTCAACCACAATTTCTTTCGCGTCTTCGAAAGACTAGCTTAGGTGATGGGAGGCAATCTGTGTTCGTGGCAAGCTCCCGCGCAAGTGTGCAAAAGCTGTTGGAGCTTTGCCTGCATTGATGTGATGTTGGCTAGCGGCTGGATCGCAAGTGGTTCCAGCCTTTGTTCGTGTAGTTCTGGCGCCCTGTGAAGACATAGGGCTGCCAAGCATGGTCATGTAGGAAGTGCTCTGTGCTGCCCTTAGCTCCAGAACGAGAAGACGTAAAATCCAGACCTAAAGCGAAGGACCCCCCAAGAAGTTTGAAGCTGTATGTCAAGGACTACACATCATCGATGAATTGGCCCAAGAGGAGGGAGTGCTCGGCTTGCCAGAAGGTGCGTTGCAAATTGCCTTTAGCTAATTATTTCCCAATCTAGCACCTGACCGGTCGAGGGGCGCTAGGCCCTAGGCCCGTTTCGACACCAAAATCGGAAGCCCTACGTAATGATGGGGATCACACGTGAAAGCGGAAGAGCCGAGCTGCTCGGACTGTAGACGATTCGACACCTTGAAACTCGGCGTCCCCTGCCGTGGACTGTAGCGAGTTCATGCAATCGTAGGCAAGTCCTCAAATTTCAGCAATCCTGAACCTGAAGGCGTGCATCCCTTGCTAGACAAAACCCCGAATCTGCTGCCTGAAGCCTCGCCCTGAGAGGCCGACGATGGCTTGAACCGCTTCCTGCAGACTCTGACTTTTTTGCAGGTCTGCCACCTCGATCTCTGTGTGTATGTGCTTGTGCTTCCGTAAGTTTAGTACTTTGGTGTTCAGGTGCCGTTCAAACCTTAGCTTAGCTTGGGAGGAGGGAGGAGAGTTAGAGTAACAGTTAGAGTTGTGACTGTTCGTGATGTTCTGCCTCCGGGGGGTCCGCGAGCTAGGATGGAAGCGGGCTCACAGCCACGAGTCAGTCCCGGGATTGGTCCCAAGGTCACCAGATCCTTCGTGAGTTCGTACTGTCAACACAGAGATCGAGAATCCACATCCATGGACTGCCGTGCGCACTTTGTTCTGCTTGCAGGAATGCCTTCTGTGCAATCGGCGCTTCTGCTCCGAACACGCGCAACCCTTCGACTTCCCTGCCGGGGCGCTGCCAGACAATGTCAGCCGCGCGTACGTCTGTAGCAGCTGTCGGCCGCAAGCTGAGCACATAGCAGCGGATCACAAGGACACTGTCCCCTTCTCAGGGGAACAGATTCCTGCTATGGCTGCCTCCCAGGAAAACCCCCGCAGGTCATGCGATTTGCAGTTTCTATGTAGTGATCGAAGCAGTTGCTTCGGCTTGCCTTAGGGTTATGATGTGCTTTCGACTCTACACAGCCTCACCCATGTCTTTCAAGTGTACTCCCAGGCCATGTTCAATCACGGGCCCTTCTTCATGCAATGCCAATGCATAGCTGAAGCCCACTCTCCGTCGCAAGCCCCGACAGGACTGCCTCAGGCCGGACATTGCCATGCAGGGACATGAGGGGTGTGGGTCCTTAGGTCATGCTTTTCCAGCGCTCTAGGCCTAGGCACTTTTGACTCTGGAACCCTCTGGGATCTGAAAACTAGAGCACCATTCCCGAGGCTAGGTTCTAGGCTTCTGAATGCGCGCAGTACACATGAGGCGATGCCCTTTGACGCAACCGAGATTTGCACAGGCAAACACGGCAGATCCGCGCCCTGGCCCAGCGTCAGAAGGCCTTGCAGACCGGCTGCCACCACCAATCACGGCCAGAGACAACGAGATTCTGCATTGAGCCTGGGAGCATCCGAAGACTGGCTTGTTAACAGCATGATATCGTCAAGCTACGCTGATAGGAAGGCCGACGGCACGAGGTTCCAGTTGCTGGAAGGTGGCTAGGTAGGAGGAGCTGACAGCTGAGTTTCTCTTGTCCGATGAATCATACTGCAGCTGGACAACTTCTTTGCCCGCCCTTAACCGGAGAGCAGCACTTCTAGAGCCCTCCCGATGTATTTCTGCTGGCTCAAGGAATGTGACGTGGCCTCCAGTGGCAGCTGTGAAGTTTGCCGGGTTCTTGGCACCTGTAATAGATTCAGCAGCCGCACGGTGGTTTATGCCGAACCACAAACTCAAAAAACATGTTGGGAGGGGCCCAGGTGGTCTTACCTTATGCCCGCTTCATGCAGAGCTTCATCCTCCTGACACTGGCAAGGCCGCGCCTGCGGCAATTGTAGCGCTCCAAACCCCTGAAGCCATCTTCGCTTTCAGCTCTGTGGCCTTTGCGTGACATGTCTTAATCGCACCCGAAATTCGTCCTAAACTCCTTCAAACGTCACAGGCCTTGTGGGGCTTTCCTGGTTCATGAGAATTCTGTCTTTTCGATCATTCCCTCCAGGCATGGTTTTCAATACTCGGAACATCTCGGAACTTCCCTGGAAGCCCTAGAAGGCAAGACGCTCTTGCCGTGGCCTCCCAAGACTTGCAGGCCCGCCGCCTCAGTGTTTGCCTGGACTCCGAGTGCCGCAGCTACGCCGCTGCCAGAGCTGCGGCGTGCGCTGTGAAGGGCCCAGTCCAATTCTGTTTGAACAAGGGCTTTGTGCTTTGCATCGTTGAGCAGCAACAGACTCGGTTGTGCAGAGTCGTACATGTTGCTTCTTACGGTCTTGGTCTTCGTTAAAGAAAAGGGTACAGACGGACCCACCGCCAATGTTGTTTACTTTTTATCTCTTGGAGACTCGTCAGCCCGGTGGTGGTGGTGGTGGTGGTGGTGGTGGTGGTAATGTCAAGACCAGTAGTAGGAGCGGAAGGAGGAGTACTAGTTACTAGTGGTGTTGTCTGGTGCACGTTTGTTCCGCACGGTTTCAGCCTAACTCAATTTTGCTGATCACGAAGCGTCGCCGTTCCGCTCTCTCGTAGCACGCGCAACGAGGCAGTGCGGACAGCAAGGGCCGGCTTTTACTCTGCCTGCCTCGCAGCTGCGACTCCTCGGCTTGGCATTTCTGGCCCTCCTGCTACACTGGAGGAAGCCGTGGACTGTGCTGTCTGTGCTGCGGCTGAATTTGGCCACAGTTCGTGCAGGTCTTCGTCAAGTTCTGTACGCTCTGCGGTCTGCATGTGGTGTTGCACACCATTCGGATGCAATGCAGATTAGTGGAGCTTGTCAAAAGTTTCACCTGCCACCGTGTCCTGTGCAGAGCTTACGCGTACAGCACAAGCACAGGAGACCTGAAAGATCAGAGCTGAAGACCCCTGAAGCCTGAAGCCAGGTGGCCTGGTTTTCACAAAGTTGCCGGGGTCCTTGCGGCACCACTGCCGTGGGTGTGGCAGGTCATCGCCTCAGCTGCATTTGGTCCAGCAGCATCAGTTTCGGTGGGCAAGTGTGAGCGAGGGTCGGAAAACAGAGGAAAATAATAAGCAGTATGAATATGCATATGGAAACAACTGAATATTGTCAAAGTCGTAACAGTGCTCTCGAAGAGTGGCAAGAGTAGCTGGAGGAATAAGGACAACTCCAAATGCCACACACTGTCGCACGCGTGTCGACTGTTGCCCACGTTCACGAACGAAAAGGTAAGCTGCCCCACGAAGCTGCACCTCCCTGGGGCTGAAGATGGTAAATCTACAACAGACCAGCCCTTGGCGAAGAAAGACCGTGCGTTTTGCATTGTCTTGACCTTGCAAGGTCGTTATGCGCTGTCTGCCTTTGTGGTGTTGCTGGCTGTCTGGTCAATGTGGCTCGCTGCCCGCACAAAGCCAGGCCACGTCTCGTGCCAGTCTGTATTTGTCTCGCGTTTGCTGCAGGGTCTCGGGGTTCAGATCCTGACTACTGACAATGTCGCAGCGCATCGGGTTGCAGGACAGAGCGTTGCAGGCCTGGGACTTCGGCTTTAGGGATCAGCGCTTCGCCTGCAGGTTGTACGACAAAGAAGAGCGGATTTGTCTCTCGGCCGACAGAAGTAGCAAGGTTATTGAGTTGTCTTCTGTTGAAGTCACCTGAAGTCGGAGATCTCAGTTTGGAGATCTTGCATATGCAGTGTGACTCGGTCGTGCCGAGCTGTCGGACTCGGGTAGACACAGGCTCTAAAGGACGTCGCCAGTGCCGCCGACCCCGAAGAAAGTGGCAACACGAGAGACTGTTCGGGGATTGAAGGTCGAGCGATGGGCACTGTGACAGGGCCCATCGCTATGAATCCAGAAACGATAACCGGAAATGGGCACTGTGACAGGGCCCGTCTCCGCATGGGGGCACTGTGAAGGGGCCCGTGTGCTTACAATCGGCTAGCGGTAGGTATTCCTGCATGGATCCTATACGGGCTCTGTAAGTGAAGTACTAATGAAGGCCTTAGTGTTCAAAGAGATACTCCCCTCACTCACTCCCCTCACTCACTCCCCGCAGTAACTCTCTGCACTCACTCCCTGCACTCACTCCACGCTCGTACTCCCCGCACTCACTCCCCTCCGTATCTGTAAAATGACTACCCATGTACCACTACCATGCAGTGGCGCTGAAAAGCAGCCAGAAAAACTCCAGAGTTGCGCTGATGAAGCAGCGATATCTTTCGTAATTTGTGAGTACATAATGGAGGGCCCACTCCTGGGACTTCCCAGAACATAAATCGACATCAACTGACCCTTCTCCTTTCCTATTCGTTGGGTACCCCCCAGCGGTAGCGCTCGCCATTTTTGTTTTATGGCGACTTTTCTTTCCTCTAGTGGGGTAGCCCCTCAGCGGTAGCACTCGCGAAGTGTTCTGGCTAGTTTCCTTGATTTAGTGGGGTAAGCCCCCTATCCCGGTACCGGTACCTCTCGCGAATCGCGGGTTTGACAATTTATGGCGTGCTCAGAACCATCACCTGACCGTGACTCCCAGAAACCTTGAATCGCGTAGTGGGCCTAGCCCTGTCCATATCTATATTATCTACATCTATATTTATTTGTATCTGTACCTATACTCACACCTATATCTATACCTATGTCTATATCTATACCTATGTCTACAGTAAATCTATATCTATATCGATCTATATCTCTATATATATATATATATATATATATATACATATAGATAGATATGATATATGGAGCTTTTCAGTGGCAGGTACAGCGCCAACCTTGATGCCTTCCAGCCCTTTCGGGACAAAAGACCGTCGATGTGAAATATGTATGTATTTATTTATCTATATCACTACTTATATTCTTATCTATATCCATATCCTACTTTCGGCTTCCCTGTTCCGTTCTGAATGCATAATGGAGGGACCGATCCTGGGCCGGGGGCGGCGGGGAAGGCGTACAGTAGGAAGGGTTGATGAATGCATTGGGGGTCAGTGAGGCTGCTAAAGTTTAGCTAAAGGAGATGACGAGGGGTGCTAGTGGAGCCCGCTGGAACGGGGAGGCGGGAAAGTCTTTCGCTACGGACGGCAAGATCGGTGTTTGGAAGGAACTCACTCTCATGCTGCTTGATGCATGTTGTATCTCTGGAATCGCAGCTGCTGTGAAAGTGCAGCAAGCCCAAGCTGTGTGTCGACAACTGTTACACGTTCCGAAGCCTATCCGATCAAAACGTACTGCTGTTCCCGGATGGTTATCGAAGCTTTCTTGTCTTTCGCACAGAGGGTGTTGGGGGTCAAGCACATATGCAGCAATCGTTGAGGCCACTGGAAAGTAGGCTCAACAGTCAAGTTGGCACATCGGCGCGTGCATCTCAATTTATCAGGGTACTAATCTCCAACCAAATCGCGATTGCATGGGGATCTATCGCTAAACTAACAGTCGTCCTTCCGTGCGATTGGGCTCTCTTCGGGCTTTTCTACAGTCCTGGAAGCCGAGGCAAGGACTGTCTGCCCCTAGCCGCGGCAAGGGTGCAAGCGAAAGCCGTGACGATGGGAATCGTCGACACTGCCTGCCAGCTCCTGTGAATCAAGTGTGAAGCGGACGTTTTAGGATTTTCGGCTTTGCTTGTTCAGTACATGTTCACTTGTTCACATCATGCTGTATGCTATCACCACGTTCTACTGCACATATCTGCACATGGCTGGTTGGTGCTGTTTGCTGCGTGGACGAGGTTTGCGGAACACTGCCTTCGAGTCTCCGCCTTTCTGGAAGACCCGGAGGCCGTACCTCTCTACGAGGCCAACAACGTTGACACTGTCGACGACTCAGGGCAGAAGAGCGCGATCCTCTGTAGTACAATACATGTCATGTGCTGCCAGCTTATGGAATGCTGGAATGGTCCGCGGGACACTCGCCGTGCTCACCCTCACGCGTTCTGCCGGCAGGTCAGAAAGATGACAGTTTGATTGCCCCACCCTTGATGTCGCCACGCCTTTTCAATCTGTTCAGCGTTGTCTTGGGGGTACCACAATTGCAGCCGAATTGATTCGGCTTCCGGAGAAAAGACCTCACGACCGGCGGTTTCGAGCATTCACTGCAAAATGTTTTTTGATAGGTGGACCAGGCAACACCGGCCGCAACAGGAGCCCTCGCATCTCGGAACCTTTCTGCGCAGAGCACTTACTACTTCTGGCATTCCGATGTGGGCTGCAGTGGTGAATTAATCCGCTTGCGCCGACAATTTTCAAGGGAAGCCACATGCGGGGAAACCCCTTCAGCGGCGTTTAGGGTGAGGCCGAAATTCTCATTGAGAACGTGTTTTTCATCGCTACGCAGAGCCTGCCCAGGTCCAGGAGAAGCTGTGGAGGGCCGGCGGCTTCGCTGTGGAAGGTGCGCGTCGGGCCGCGCCCTTGCTGTCGCTGCCCTGGGCTCTGGGGGTGCGCGCGGTGGATGCCTGGCAGGGCAGGATTGGGGGGGACTTGCCTTCTTGAGCGGCTCTCCACAAGACTTGCTTTCAGTCCTTCTCAGCGACGTATTCCCGCCTTCCGGTTCTCCTCAAAATCACCTTCGGAGCAGTTTCAGTTCAGTGCTTAGCATGCAATCTCTTGAAAGCACATCCGAACCCGTGGCCGTGGGCTCCGTAGACTCCCTTGGGCCCTGCACTGAGGATGTGGTCTGGAACTACGGCCAGTACGGCTTGTTGGGCTTTCTTTTGCGTGAAGAGATCATGCAGGGCATCAAGACCCTGCTGAGCCTCAGCTCTGCCCTGCAAGACATTCCTCCGAAGGACCTGGTTGTAGGCCCGGCCCGGCCTCAAGCAACACCCTTCCAGAGCTCCAAATGGGAGTTTCCGAAAGTAGGGGACCCTAAATATAGTACCTTAAATAGCAGGATCCTTACTATAAGGGCCCCAAAATAAGGTACCACAAATCCCAGAGAAGTTTTCGGGCCAGGGATCCTCTACTTGAGCGCGGAGCAAAGAAAAGCTCTACGAGATGCTCCGGAGGAAAATCGGCGACTTGCCAGTCAAGTGGGAAAGCCCGTGCCGCCTGACTTGCTGCAAGCGCTCATCAGCATGGCATTGATAGGCCCGCGGTCGAAAATTGGCGTTGTGGCTGTTAGCAACGGAGTCTTCTGAAGCATGACCTTCCATGTCAACACAGGGATCATCGTATGCCGCTATGAGGGCCCTTGTCGAGAACTATATGTTTTTTGGGGGTTTGCCTTCCGCATATCAAGCGTACGCGGCCCCTGCAGGAACCTACGCACCCTACCACGAGACTCCTTTTGAGGTGCAGCGTTTCGCCTTGCAACAGAACTGGCGCCTGGTGACGGAACGGCTTTGTGAAAGTTGGAAGCACAAGCCGGCTTGGGCTCTCTTCATAAGCTGCGAGCATCGAACCGCTGCCCTCTGCATTCGTGGCACCGACGTGGAGCAGCTCCTGAGCTTTTATACTCATCGAGCCTGTTTCTTCTTTCCGTCCTCAAACCATGCTTGTTTTGTCGCTCGTTCGACTGCCCTACTGCAGGTCGCGCGGAGGCGACCTCTTCACCGACTTCGACGCCGTGCCGGCGAAGTACGAGACCTCCGACGGCTGTGCTACGCTCGTTGCCCACAGCGGCATCCTGGCAGCTGCGCTGGCTCTGGAATCCGAGCTCCGCCCTACCTTGCGCACATTGGCCACCTCGGGCTACCGCCTGATTCTGACTGGACACAGCTTGGGCGGCGCCGTCGCCGCCCTTCTGACCTGGCTGCTGCGGCACGGGACGGGCGGAGAGCGACTTCCGTCGGGATTTGAGGGCCAAGCGTTTGGCATCGGCTACTCGACGCCGTCAGTTGTGGACAGGAAGACTGCAGAGGAGATGAAGCCTTTCTTCACTTCGGTGGTTAACTCGATGGACGTCGTACCCCGCCTAAGCAATGGGACGCTGATGCAGCTCAGCTCAGAGATTCGAGCTTGTGCTGAAGAGAGTGGAGCCGCCCTGGATGAAGATGTCCAGCACTACGTGGAGCGACTGACGACAGTTTGGGCTCCTCGCTTCCGGGATGGCACGCCGCTGCGGGATCCGAACCCGAGGCCCCATGAAAGAGGCCATTCGGGCTCACAAGGGTGCGCGGAGCGCGACCAGGAAGTGTGGAACCCTGAGACCTCAGAGAACGTGGAGGGTGTGATGCAGGATCTGTGGCTCGCGGAAATGTTCAGAAGCTTGATGTCTTCTTGCCTGGCAGCCTACCAGCTGGAAGCTTGCACATCTTCTTGGATGCTGCATGGTCAGTTCACTGCATCAAACACCAGCTGAGGTATGTTCCTGGCAATGTCGTTTGGATCCACCGCGTCTGTGGACATCTCGAAGCGGCGCTGGTTCCATGCGGGATCAAACCGCTTCGGAGACTTGTTCTTGACAAGCGCATGTTTGCAGACCATGCGTCTCAGTCACTTTACCAGGCACGGGCAGTGCCCGGGCAACAAGCACCTTCAAAAACAGATGTGGTACTTACAGTCCGTGCGTGTTTCGTCCAGCTACACATGTCATAAGTTCTGATTGGCAGGCGCTGCTCGCGGCGCAATCCAGACAACCTTCGTGCAGTGATGTCACGTGGCAGAGATTTGCAGATGCCGGGGAGAGGTGTCCTTGCTGTGGAAGCCGCTACGAATGGATGAACACAGCTCGTAGCGGCAAAATGCGATGCCATGCGATGACGAACTGCAGAAAGTGCGGTTTGGTTGTGTGCCTTGGCTGTGCGAACACGCGACGCTCCATCCCGGAGTTGTGCCTGGAGTCAGCCCGAGTGTGCGACCGATGTGCCTGGCGCTGTGACGACAAATCGTTGCAAGCGTTGCCTGCCATCTTCCAATCCTTGGCAGCGCAAAACACGCAGTCGTAACCGCCTCGTTAATGCAGAGTACCGTGAGTTCCGACTGAGCAGCTGCTTGGGCTGCTTGGGACTAAGCCCCAGTGTGCCAAAGGCACCAGCAGGCGCAGCGGCTGCGGGAAAAATTGCGTGGAGCATCCTGCAGCCCGTCAAGGAGTGACATGTGGACAGCAAGGCACTGCCCCCGCTTTTTCTTGGCTTCACAAGCAGCACTTCATTGAAAAGCCACCCGTGCTTTGCCAACTCCGTGGATTCCGTGTGGGCCTCAGGTGGCATGTGAGCGTGAGTATGAGTATAATTATGAGCACGAGCATGGGCATGAGTATGAGTATGGGTACGAGTATGCCAAGCATCAGTGCATGTGAGGCGAACTGCTTCCGATGGATTTGTTCCTGTGGCTCAAGACTGTGCTCGTTCTCGTGATCGAGCCACCATTGCCTTAGCAGCAGGGTATACTTGCACAGCCACTGCTACTCCATGATGCACATGACATGGTAGCCTTAATACAGCCCATGGTGCCTACGTGTACTTCGCGGATTTGACTGCATGTCGCCGACGCCATGGAGTGGCATTGCGACTGGGACGTGGCTGTGCAGTCGGCTACGCCGGGCCCGGTTCTTTATGACACCCGGCCCCTTGGCAAATACACGATCTGCACGGAGACAGACGGAACTGAAAAGACGGGGCCCAGCCCGCTACGTGTGGCATTCGCATAGCGCTAGAGACTCTGGTGCAGATGCTGCTGGCCTCTGGTCCAACAGCTCTGTAAGCTGAGCACCATCCTGGCATATCCTGGCACAATTGGCATTGTCGTCTGTAAGTGTCAGAAAGTCTAAAGACGATCCGGTCCATGAGTTTGCCGTGGAGCGCCTTCAAGCCTCAGGCACACCACGGTTAAGGAATCGGGTCATCGTGTGAGCCAAGGCGATGCGTCTTCGCCTTCTGAAAGCACTTGCGACAGCGACGGTGACAAAGGAAGCAAGCAGAGTGTCAGACCGGCCACAATCCTTTAGCACCTGAGCGGCTCACGTGCAGGAGCTTCCAGAGTTTGGCCCTCGCCACGGATGTGCTCGCGAAGTGTGTCACTGAGAAGGCGCAGGCTCAAGCCTCCGCTTGTCGCAAACTCATGCTCGATCTCTTGTCCAGTCCGCCCGCCGGAGCACTGTGTGGCCACTTGATGCTTGAGCATGCCCGCGAGGTAGCCATCGACCCATTTCATCCGTCCTTCGATCCTTGGTGACTTGTCCGCCTCCAGCCGACTCCAGCCCCGAGCCCACTGCCGTATAATGTGCGATTTTGAAGCAAGGGTCGAGGCTTGCTTTGCTGCAGCACCTGTCCGTGGGTTCTCTCAGCCAATCTCGACTACTCGGGGCTGGCAAAGTTGTGTGGCATGAGAGCGAGACTCGCGACGCTGGAATGCTTGCCCTCTGGAGGTGCAGGACATGCGGTACCGACCAGTGAAATTGCAACAGACCCGGAGTCCCGAGGCTGGGCTTTCTGTCCAGTTCCTCTTTGGTTTCGATGTAAGCGAAGCGTACAGTGATGAGCGGGAAAGCTTTATTCATGGCCGAACTTGACAGGTTTGACACGCCGGATCCCAAGGTCTGTTTGACTCCCGTGCTCGTGCTGCTTGCAGCTCACCTGCAGTAGCCAGATTGGTGGGCAAACACAGATTCTCAGGTCCTCCTGGGTCGTCGCCTATTCTGATGTTGTGGACAGAGTCGAGGGCCCTCCACGACTCTCAAACTCCGAAGGTTTTGCCGACGGCGTCGGCTACCCGAGTGCCTGGAATGCCCCTTGATCTTCTCAACGATAGTCAGAGCTACCGTAGGAGCTCCTTATGCAGTTTCCTTTGAATCTGTCCCAAACGGCCCATTCTCCATCTCAGGCCAGGACCGGTGCAGTTCGGTGGCGCTCGCCGACGCAACTGATTCTGCCGAAAGTTTCGACCCCTTCCTTGGGCGGCCTGCGTTTCGTGGAAGAGCTGATCGAAAAAGACATGCGCAGTCAATGAGAGACATGGTTTGAATGAGAGGAGAGACGTCGTCTGCCCTGCGACCACTCAACTGTGCATTCAGGTTTCACCTACGTGTCCCCTCTTTTCTTGGTTTTTCGTCGGCGGCTCGGTTCCGGTTGCTCTGGCTCGCGCAGCACCTTGCATGCAGGACTTGGCTTGCTTCTAGTGACTCTAGTGGATCTGTTCCTTTGGCCCGAATAGTGCTCGTCCTTCTGATCGAGCTACAGTAGCAGCAACGCATACTTTCACAGCGACTGCTACTCTGCTCGGTGTGCCTGAGTAGCTTTAACACACCCTTCAGCAAAGTTGACAACATGCCGCCAATGCCATGGAGCGACGCTGCGACTGGGACAGTTTGGTGCCAGTCGGCTCCACTTCAGTATGACCCCAGGTCGCTTGGCGGGTACGATACTGTTTCGAAAGACTGAGTTGGGCCCAGCCGATTCCATGTGGCATCTGCCTGGAGCAACAGACTCAGGTGCAGATGCTGCTGGTTTCTGGTCCAGCAGCTCTGCCAGCTGAGCTCCGAGAAGGATCAGCTGCTTCACGAGTCTCCGAGCTATACTTTAGAAACCTCACACGACATACGCAAGGGGTGGAGTTGTTCCAGTCGTTACGATCAGATAGATACAGCATCGCAAGATGCTTGCGCGGCCTTGAGGCTTCGACGTGACAACCATGCCCGGTGGGCCGAGACCCAGATGCTGCAAAACGCGTTTCTCAGCTGCACTTGGTTATGGTCGTTGCTGCTTGTGGCTAGATTCGCAAGCGTGAAAATGTCAAAAAATGTTCCTCTTTCCGACTCGTCAAGGAGCTACACTCCTGCATGCTTGCAAGACATGCGTCAAGGATGGACATGTTCCACTTGTTGCAATCAGATGCAGTGTGGCAAGACTTTCACTCGGTGCCTAGATGCATCAGCCTGCACAGCGAGAACATTGCGCTGTACAGCGAGCTTGTCAGCTGCAGTTGGTTCGAGTCGTGGTGCTTTCCGGGTTCGCGACGAAAACGGAAAGTTGGTCAACGGTTTTGCTGAGACGGGGTTCCGTTTCCGAGCCTTCGAGCTGTATGCTGACACGTTTACGCAATCTGCATACAGAAAGGCTTTGTCCCACGACGTCCCGCATGTGGTAAACAGATACGTGCAGCATGGTAGGTGGCAAGACTCTGAAACGGCGCTCAGGTGCAGCAATCTCCGTTGTCAAAACAATGCCCTTTGGACTGGCAGTGAGAGGTGGCACAACAAGCTTCTCAGCTGCAGTTGGTTCGATTCTTGGCCCTGGCTGCTTTCATGATGTAGCAAAACACAAAGAAATCAGAAAGGCTCCGGAGTCCGGAGTCCCGCCCGACCTTTGTCCGAGAGCAGACTCATCAACAGCTGCAACAAATCATAAAGAAAACTATCACAGAGAAAGGCAGCACGGAGTCTCCCTAATCCCGCGCAGTTGCGTTCTTTTTGCCTTTGATATTGGGGCTGCCCTGGCGGCCGCGATTGTTTCGCCTTTTGGAACTTGCTTGTCTTATTTACAACACAAGCCAGGGTGCGCCCGACCTACACTTACCACCCAAGCCTGGTACCACCCAAGCCTGGTACCACCCAGGAAAAAGGCAGGCGCCAAACAGGCAAGAACAAGGTCAAAAGGCCGCCAGCTTGCGTGCTTACCTAGGAAAACACGAAGCAAACGGACAATACGCAGTGTTTTTTCTTTGGTGCTTTTCGCTACTGCGAAAAAGGCAAAAAAGGCACCAACGACAATGCAACACACATGCGCCAAGAAGGCAATATCGTTTTGCAAATTGTCCTTTCTGCTTTTGGGTAGCGGTTTCTTTGCGTTGCTATCGGGTGTTCGAGGGCTACATCTGTTTTATCTAAAACTTGCTTGTTTTTTTGCAGGGTGCTTGGAATCGCACTTTCTGTATGGCTTCAGGACATGCAGCAGACATAAATACTAGCTAGTGACAGCTGCTAGCATGCGACTTCAATGCAAGCGCCAAGATGTCATGTGGGAGTCTTCGAGCTGAACTCTATGATGGTATAGCATGCTTACGCAGCATGAATGAAGGATGGAGTCGTAGCTTTTGACATCACAGGATGATCAGTCAGAGCTCAGGTGCCGCAATATTCGCCGTGACAAAGAGAAGCTGAGTAAAAAGCTTCTCACATGCGATTGGTTCGATTTGTTTCCATTGTTGTGCTGACGACGCAAAGTTCTTCTTCGACATTTTCTCAAGCAGGTTGACAAACAGGTCGCGTCCGGAAGCATGTCTCGACACGTTGTGTGTGGCAGGTGTAGGGCCGGCCTTGATTCTTAGCTCGTTGCAGCTTGTCTCCCTGTCTGCTGCATCAGCAAGCAGCCATCGTTCCTTAAGGTTACGCATCCTGGAGGAGCAGGCGTTTCAGGCCAAGCATTGCCCCGACATGAAGCAACTTGACAGCAAGATATGTCAAGCTTTTCCGGACTTACAGGTATATCTGCCTCCAAGATGTAGTGAATGTAGCGTCTATTGATGACTTAGACAAATCCCTCTGTTCATACGGAGAGCTGCCACACCAGTAGAACCAGGCGACGGATGGTGAGTGTAATGCTGTTCTTTGTGTGTGATGACTGTCTGCAACACGGCGACACAAGCCCAAGACTTTGCAAATTTTCCCTGATCTTCCCCGGCCTTCCCTTGACATATCTGAAGTTTTGGACCGCAACCTGTTGTGCCTCTCTTTGCGCGCTCTTGTAGGTGGGTGTGAGGAAGATGCGTAGGAGCCGAGCCAACACATGGGGAGCACATGCATGGGACGCACACTGTCTGCCCGCATCCATGCACAGTTGACATGTCTTCGATCTACAAAGTGTATGGAACAGCCAAGCACAGACAGAGTATGTGCAGCGTGTGTGGATGTCAATGATGTCAAGCCTCCATCGGCTGGTTCTGACATTCTTCTCACATCCTTCGAGGGTGCCTCTGTGGCAATGAGCTCAGAAACTCAAAGGAGTGGCCGCCAGATCAGGTTCAGAATCCGGATCTGTCCAGGATAGGCCCAGAAATTTTACTTGGATTTTGGGAGTGCAGATGGGGACACGATGCCTGCATGCCCTTACCTGTGAGGTCAAAGGAGCACGTGCTCCTTAGGACACCGCCTGGCAGCCCGCCGCTGTGGCAGCAATTTCTGTCATTCAGGCACTATGGCTTGCTGGCATAATGGTCTCAAGTGCTGGGAGGGGACATCGAAGACTAAGCAGACATGGCACTTGTGGGGAGCTCAGGAAGATCAGGAAGTTTCAACAAGACGATCCCACACACGAGATCGCCAGACAGTGCCTTCAACAGCAGCTTCAGGCACACGACACGCAACAAATGGGATCTTTTCATGTGCACAGGCGGAGACAAGAACAGGGAAGTGGTGCATCTCTGAGTTCTGTGTCGACTTGTCACAGTGCCGGCAACGGCCCTCCGGAGGACGCAACCAAGCATGGCAGAGTCACAGAGAGAGAATCCTTCAGCACTTCAGCAGCTCACCCTGCAGGAGTTTCCTGATGCCTCTCCTCAAAGCGGTTCTCCTGGCGAGGTGCGCCGCTTACACTCGCCGTAGATGGAGTGGGCACGTTTGCAGAACTTGTTTGAGGCATGCGATTCCGAGATCACGAAACCCAACATCAAGGCATCGAGAAAAGCCTGCGAAAGGAAAGCCGCGATGTTGATCTTTCTCCCATTGAAAGGAAGAATTGCCTGGAGCGCTCCGGGCAGACATTGGCGAAGCTCACGAGGGGACGTCACGTGCAGTGGAGAGGCCTCTTCGGCCCAAACGGAGGGCTTGCATGGCAAGTTTTTGCAACAACTGTGACAGTCTGAAGAGGCTTGACAAGAAGTGAGAGGGCGAAGCCTATGAGCTGGAATCTGTTGCCGAGAGGGAGCAGGCTCCACTCGTCTGCCCGGCGTGCAGTGTGTCGCCCCTTGGTAGATGCTTGAGCATCCGCGCGCGCCCGCGCCCGAGGCAGCCATCGACCTTTGCCACCTGCCCTACGAAGCTCTGTGACTGGGCCGCCTTCGAGCCCGAAGCGAGGGCAACTGCTGCGAAACCTGTTGTCTTTTGAAGCCATGGTCAGTCCAGCTGATGAGCAATTGTCACAACCCCTACATCCGCCAAAATGACATGCTAGCAATGTTTGGATACTCGAACTTGTGGCTTTCTACCGTCTACATCAGTTACAGGGACAGGTGACCTGATAAGCATAATGTAGAATTGCTGCAGGGAGGACTCAAGACGACCCCGTCCACGAGTTTGCCGTGGCAGCTTCACACCCCCACGCACGAAAATCCGGGGGATCCTTCTGTGTGCCAAGGCACAGTGAAGAGGTGGGAAGCGGTGCGTCTTCGCCTACTGAGAGCACTTGCGACAGCGACGGCGACGGCTCTCCGCAGGACGCAAGCAGAGTGTCGCACCCACAACAACATTTCAGCACCTGAGCGGCTCACCAGCAGGAGCTTCCAGTCTCTGGCCCTGACCACGGTTCTGCTCGCGAGGCGTGCCGCCCGCATCTGCCGCGGATTCTCCGTCGATAGGAGTTCGCGTGTTCACAGAGCTTCTCTGTCTGAGGCATGCGTGTCCGAGACCGAGATAACAGATGATGAGCAGCCCAGCATCAAGGCCTGGAGAATACGAGAGTGAAAGGAACATAGCCAAATTGATCTCTGTCATTGAAAGGAAGATTTGCCTGGAGCGCTCATGGGCGAAGCACACGAGGGTGCTGAGAGAGAGAGCAGGCTCCACTCGTCTGCCCGGCGTGCAGTGTGTCGCCCCTTGGTAGATGCTTGAGCATCCGCGCGCGCCCGCGCCCGAGGCAGCCATCGACCTTTGCCACCTGCCCTACGAAGCTCTGTGACTGGGCCGCCAACCAGCCCGGAGCGAGGGCAACGAGCAATTGTCACAACCCCTACATCCGCCAAAATGACCTGCTAGCAGTGTTTGGACAGTGTTTGGATACTCGAACTTGTGGCTTTCTACCGTCTACATCAGTCACAGGGACAGGTGACCTGACAAGCATAATGGAGATCGTGCGCCTCGCCTTTAACGTGTTTCCCGCAAGCACATGTCCAAATTTTTGCTCCTCGCTTGTTTTGTGGTGATTATGCTGGACCAAGGCCACCAAGGCCATTGGCAGAGGTGGAGATCGAGAGCGACGAGGGCTTCAGTGAAGTGCCTCGATCAGCTACTCGGCTGATGTTTCGCTCTGGAGCCGGGGATGATGCTGAGGAAGGGTGGGGTCCACTGGAGTAGGTGCCGATATGTCTATGAGTGCAGACTGGCGAACTGTGTTGCAAATGTTGCCGCCGGATCAGATTGAGAATCCGGAGCTGTCAAAAACAGGGCAGTAATGGGCAGGAAGTGTGTCTCGATTGTTGTGGCCCCCCCCACATAGCGGCTGTGACTTCACCTGCGAGATTCGTCTACATTTGCTTGCAGCCAGCTCAGTTCAGATGTGTCGTGGCTGGCACGAGACTGGTGAGGTCGGAGGAGAAGGTGCTCGACCTCCGTGTGACAGCACCTTGCAGCCGTGCGAGCGAAGCGCCGCTGTGGCAGCAATTCCGGTCATCCTGGCCACCTGGCCGCACGGAGGGTTTGATGCCGAGCTTTTGCAGCTGTCGCAGCCGGGTGTCTTCGGTCTGCAGAGGCCTCACAAGAAGCAAGAAAGCGAAGCCTCAAAGGGCTCGATTGCTGCACACGAGACGGATTCCGTCATTGAGAAGGCTCAGCCTCCTCTTGTCGCGAACTCATGGCTTTTCTGTGTCTAGCCTGCCGCCTGCCGATCGGAGCACTGAGTGGGCCGCTGTAGCTGCTTGAGCATGCCGGCGCGAGGCGGCCATCGATCCTTTTCATCCCTCCTTCGAAGCTTTGTTACTTGGCAGCCCCGAGCAACTGCTGTACAACGCGTAATTTCGAGTCAATGGCGCTGTCCAGCTGATGAGCAAGTGTCGAGGCCTGTTCTTTTGCAGCACCTTGCCGTGGCTTGTCTCAACTACCCGTGGCTAGCAAAGTTCGGCCACAAAAGAGGGACTCGCGACGCGGGGATGCTTTCCTCTGGAGGTGCGAGACATGCTGTACTGGCGAGTGACATCCCGGCAGACCCGGAGTCCAGAGGCTGGGCTGTGCAGTCCAAACGAAGCGTACAGGGTAGAAGAAGCGGTCTGACGAGTTCCAGCCGGAGGTCTTGACACGGCATGTGGCCGAGCTTGGAAGGTTTGACACGCCGGATCCTCAGATCTGTCTGACTTGAGTGCGTGTCTCCATGCGGAGATAACGTCGGCATGCAGCTCAAAGTCAGTTTCGTGCAGGCCCGCCTCCATGGTCGCCTACTTTGATGCTGTGGAGCAACTCGAGGGCCCTCCGCGCCGATCAACCTCCGAAGCCTTTGCCGATGATGTCGGCTTCCAGAAGCGCTTTGAATGCCTCTCGGCCTGTTCTGATCTGTTCTTCTGTCATGCTCTGGAGGAAATCTTGATGCCTGAAGCTCCGCTTTAGCCTGCCCAATCCTGTTCTGCATGTGAGGCCAATACTGGTGTATTACGCTTGCGAGAGCCACCACAACTCATTTTGGCGAAAGTGTGGTCCGAGAGATTGTTATCGAGAACCTCGAGAGCTTAATCGGGCACTGCCTTCACACAGATCAATCCGTGCGTGAAGCCGCACACTATGTAGTTGCGAATCATGCCTTTGGCGGCCTCGGCTTCGTGAAGGAACGGATCGCGAAAGCAGTGCTCAGTCAGATGAGAGACATCCTGTCAACGAGCGAGGAGGAAATCTCGGTGACCTGGGTTCGCATGTTTTTCTGCATGCAGCATCTCAAAACGCTCCTGCGATCACTGACGAAGCCTCAGCGGCAGGCGTGGGCCTCCATGTTGGCCACAATCCTACATCGACTTCAAACACCCTCAGCTCCGCAGCTGTCTTGGGCTGCTAGCCACAAGCAGGTGGTGGAGGATCTGAAGCTTCTCTGGCTTGCGGATGACGATCCCAACGGAGCTTATGCAGACACTAAGCGGCGGCTGGAAGTCTTAATGAAATCCCCGAACTTCGAAGGTGTGAGGCAGGACCTGCACAGCCTCTTTATGTGCTGACGTCGGTCTCACAAGCAGCACAATTCTCTGAAGCGGAAAACGGCGCATCTGTGCACAGCTTGTGGTCTGCCACAGGTGTGGCATTCAATGGCCTCCGATGGCTTGACCGTTGTTAGCCAGGTGAAGGATGCTGCCCACACGCGCAGCCAAAGCCGGATGCTCTGTGTTGACTATCTCCCTTGGGTTTTGCAACACAACAACAACAACAACAAGGCTGCAGCTGCAGCGAAGCCAGAAGTCGGCGGCTCGGTTCTGGTTGCTCTCGTGCTGATGCAACTCTTCCAGGGGCACAAGGCCCTTGTGCCGATTGAAGCCACTGCAACTCGCGCTTGACCCCTCTCGTAAGCCCTCCAATGGAGTAAAGGCTGAAGACCGCATAGGTGGCATGGGCTGAATAGCCTCCACGTGGAGATTCCGTTTAGATCCGACTTACTAGGGTTCACGATCTTAAGTCTCAATAAACGCCCTTTCACAACCTTTATGAAACCATCATTTTAAAAGACCTTTCAGAAGACTCCTTACCAAGCCCCCTGATACTCCGTAGGGCTATCGTAGAGTCTGTGTTTCTTCATCGGCATCCTTTCTCGACGCCTTCCGCTTTAGGGTGTAAACCCGAAAGACTCCCACGAACTCCCAGATCACGACGAGTATTATGTCACGACGAGCTGGCCAGGACGAGGCATGCCGGTGCTTCCGACATCAGTGTGAGTTTGAATGAGACCATGTGCTTAAGATGGGTGTGACGGGCGGGTCTGGTCAGTGATTGTAAGGCCTTTACAAATGCACCTTGAAGACATAGGGGTTCGAAGCACTGAGCGGCTATGTGAGGCCTTCTCAATGTTGGGTCCCTTCTACACAGCATGCTGAAATAGCACTTGAGTGCCTTACTTCTGTATTATTTTGGGGTTATTATGTAATATAACGGGCCCCAAAACCCTATTCCAATTATTAAGGCCCCTAGATTAGGTCATTCGGTGTATAGAAGTTGAAGCCCCCAAACCCCTTGATGTCCAGCTGATTCGGGACATCGAGGATCAGCTTTCAGGCAATGCAAGTGCACTTGTCGGGCCTCTGTGCGGGCCAGTGAAGGCACGACGGCATGCTTGCAAGAAGTAGCAGGTAACCAACCGTGAAGCTCATTCGCCATCATCGTCGTCGTCATCATGGTCATCATGAAATCATAGTCATAGCCATAGTCACAGAGCATCCTACTGTTCATCGTCGTCATCCGAACAGGCCACCTCAAAGCTCTGGAAACATGCAACTATCAAGCTATGTCAAGAGGAGCTTGGTTGAGACTGAGGCTGCACCTGAAGGGTTTCGGAGATTAGGCGAGCAGTTTGGTTTGGCTTGAGTCGGTATATCAAAGGTATCTGCTCAACCCTCAGCCTTTTGAATACCGCAGCAACTCTATAAGCCCTGGGCCCAACCGTTTTAATCCCAAACCTGAGCCGACAGGATACCCTCGCCGAGAAGGAGGCAGAGAAGCAAGCCCTACAGGCAGAGCGGCAGAGTTCCAGAAGTCAAAGAATCGAAGGTTTTCTTTCTGTATCGGTCATCTTTGTTGGGTTGCCGTTGGAGTTTTGGGACGCTTCTTATCTTCTGAGTTTCGGGCTTTCTGGGTACATTTTCAAAGGTTATGCTTCCACTCTTTGTCACTCTTCAGGGCTACATCGAAGTTGCAGAACCAAAATAAACCAAACATGGCACGGTGACATTTTCGTTTTTTGTGGCGGGCAGCCGAGGCTCGGCGCTGCGAAAAAGAGTTTCAGCCCTTTGATTGCCATTGGCCTGCCTCCTCCCCTCCCTCCGGCCCACCCACCCTCTTCTAGCTAGCCCTCCACTGCGACCCATTCGCCAGGCAGCAGGGGGTTGGGAGGGGACTGTGTTTACAGATTGGCATGTTTCGGATGTCTAAAACCAGGCGTCCGCGGCCAATGATGGCCAATGCTGCCCACCTAGTGTACATGATTTTTTGAAGTTGGTTAAACGTCCGGGTGTTCAAACCTATTCGCCGCCGGATCGTCAGTATAGGGACCCGCAGACAGGGTACCCGTGAGTTGAAGAAGCTGTTACATGGGAAATTAATTCGCAACATATCCAGGTAGAGTCTTCCTTGACTTGCAGTTCAAAGTGCTGAGAGCATAGGTGCTTGAGCAGGTGGGTTCTGCCTGAAAAACTCCAGTGCTGCATCACCTCCACGGCCCGGAACATCTCGGATTCGGAAACGGAAGCCGACCCATTGCATTAAGAATGGGTCGTCGCAGCGGGTGTGCGAAACCCATGCGAATCAGCCCAGACAATTGACACCTACTTGTAATTTCAATGCCGACGGGTGGCGATGGCAAGATGAAAGTCATCGCTATGCCGCTACGCATGGCAATGGCCTGGTCCAGGTAAGCGCGGCCCAGATGCTGAAGAAGATATTGCTCCTGGAGGCTAGAAGCGCGCGAGAGCTAGCGGGGAAGGTGCATGTAAGGACAACACTTGCAGCTCGGCAATCGTGCAGGATGAGCTCCACAACGAGCGGATGAATGTCGTGACCGCAAACCAGGCGCAGCCATGCTCACTCTTTTGCCGTAAAGCAGACCCCGAACCGATCTTTGTGGCCTCCTGCGGTGGTTCTTAACTGCTTAAGGTTGGGAAGTTCTACAATCCTACAAGAACTCCTACACTCTAAGCTTGTGTAAACGCCCTCGGACTTCACAGAGCCCCGCCCTACCCCTTAAACAAGGGGTATCTCTTTCTGCATATGGGATTGGAGGGCTGGCATTGATGGGTATTCTGCCCAGCTGATGCGAGATAATCTCGGCATCAAGTCCATCAAGTACGTTCTAAGGTCCACAACGCAAAAATGGAACCCCTTTCCCTAAACCGTAACCTCCAACCATGGCGTATTGGGCTCCCTGAGCTTCCCGCTGCAGGTGCTGTCAAGACTCACTGGCGTTGCGGAGGCTCGCACTTCCGGGTCATTTGTGTTGAAAGGCAGGGCGACCGCCAGTCCCTGCCTGCCAAGAGCTTCGCGGTTTCCCAATCTTAACGGTTGTCGAGTCGCCCGACCTGAATCTCAGCGATCCCATGTCAAAGCTAGCCTTTGCCTTAAAGCTCGCACCTGAGGAGGCATGTATCACAGTATTAACAATCCACAGGCACGCAATGCAACGCTCTTGCTCTTGGGTTCAGGGATCATGATTGGCGGCTCCACACCGCAAATGCCGATGTCCCACACAGGCGGTCGTATGAGGGAAGCATAAGCTTTCAGCCGCTTCATGCGAGAACGCAAGGAAGATTAAATATTACTGGCGGGTCCTGCGACATGAAATTCGAACTTCAATGGTCTGCGTTACCCGGAAGCCAACCCTGAAGAGCTCAATGTACCGGCTGTGTATCTCCTGCTTCTGCTTCTCCTCCGAAGGCCATTGCTGTCATGGCTGTGCACTTGCGCCCCTACCTTTGTGAACACACCAGACCGGTTGGCCTCGAGAGCCTTTTCCGCAATCTCGACGGAGGGCATGATGGCGTAGGCCTCCGCACTCGTGCCGGCAAAGATTGCGGGCGGTCTTCTGCCCATCGGCCCCACGGCACATGACGATGCTCTTCTCGTCGATACTGTACTCCGCCCTTGACAGAACTTCGGACACTTGGAATGCTCGCGGTTGCCACGGTCGATTTAGCATCCAAGCCCAACTTCAACTTCGCAGGCTCCGTGCCAACATCGAGGTGCCGGTAGGAAGGAGACCACGTTTGCCCCCTACCCAGCAGTTTTCCAGATATACGCTGGGACGAGTGCATGAAAAGGCATGCTGCATGGTCAGACCGAATGCTTAACTCGAGCTCGAAGTCTCAAAACGTGCCAGAGGCCACCCCGCGCAGACGTATAATTTTGCCGTAGATCCTGTTTCAGCATGTTTGCTTCTCCAATGCTCTTGTGTTTAGCCGTCGGTCGGAGCTTCATCTTCGGTCGTGTGCACGGGCTCCATTCGAACCTGAGACTGCGGCGGCTCTGTCGGCATCACTCATTTCTCGAAGGCCTCTACAAAGCAGAACTTGCAATGCACACCCAATCACATCCACTAGTTGTCATCCTGCCGTCACCCTGCCTCGATCGTCTTCCTCTGCGACCGTTTGCTGATTTCTGACCCTGACCCCGTTGGCAAACCCTCCTCTCGGAACATCTGCAGCGCTTGCGGCGTGTGCTGTGCAGGATTTTTGTTGTTGGTGTTTAATTTTGCAAACAAGGAAGGATGGGTGTCGGATGGTGTCTGCCAGGCTGGCGCGGCCTGGCACGGAACACATCTAAGGGCTAGGCGAAGCACAAATGCAGTACTCCTCCCACTTGCTCTTGCCGTCCTCATGGTTGCACTGGATCCTGGGTTGCAGCAGCGCCCAATGCATGTCAAGCATTCTGCCTTAGCAACAAAACAACCTGTGCCATCTCTCAGCAAAAAGCCACAGCTCCAACAAGCGCCAGCATCCCACCTGAAATTCTTGCTACCCCCTCGGACGGGCTTCTTGACTTGCGCAACCAGCTTCAACTCCGCAGGCTGTGTAGACAAACGCAGCTACAACTTGACAAGTGAAGTGGTCACAAGGACACAGCTTTCATCATTAACACTCCACTAACTTTGAGAATTCGCTGTATATTGTATACAACATGATACAGTTAGGTGGTGTATGCAAGTGAAATAGAACTCCAAGCGGCGCGTCAAACTCGGGGAACACAAGAGAACGATAACAGCCAGGACTGCCAGTCTGGACATGACCACGAAGCCTTCCTCCGCGGCAGCCTCGGCGTGGACTTTCGTGCCGCGATCACCGTAGGCCATAGGCGTGCATTCGATGTCAGAAAGACAGCAGGCCTTCGCCGGCCTGCCAGCTGCGGCTGTCGCATTTGGGGAGTTCGTAATATGTTTGTAGGGCCTCGCTTTCCTGTCGCACCTTTGTAAGAAACGTATCGAGAGACATGAAGCTGGTCGGCTTCCAGGTGACAGGGCAGCTGC